ATTCTCTGTTCAGTTAGGTGATTTTCATTTTCTCTCCTAAAATGAGAGGCTATCAGTTTTGCACCAAGCTGTTTCCAGTACTGATAACCAGGAGTGAACTATTATTATTTACTATTTATTTTAAGCAGTTTTATCCTGCTCCTCAGTTATGACTTGCAGAGTAGTTTATGTAAAGTCATTATGAATAGTAGTTATGATTAAAAATTAGATAATTTAAACAGCGTTCCGAATCTAAGTCGCACTGGCCACATGACAATGGAAACTGTCTTCAGACAAACGCTGGCTCCATGGCTTGGAAACGGGGATGAGCACCGCCCCCTAGAGTCGAACACGACTGACTAAAAATGTCAAGGGGAACCTTTACCTTTACCTTTACCTTTTTACCTAATTTAAACAGGTGACAATAGTGACAGTTTGCTTCTTCTAGTTTTCCTCTGCACAGGGCAGTTGGTACTGTGAGGAAAGGTGTGGCCAAATCCAGCCTGATGAAGCATAAACAAGCAGCAAGTTGAGGAGGCAGTGCTGGTAGCTTGCTATGCAGGGTTCTTCCAGTGATTCATTTGCCTAGGTCAATGGTTCCCAACCTTGGGTAACCCAGATGTTCTTAACTGCGTCTCCCAGAAACCCCAGTCAGCACAGCTAGTGGTGAAGGCTTCTGGGAATTGCAGTCCAAGAACACCTGGATTACATAAGGTTGGGAGCTAAGTACTGGCCTAAGTGATGCTCTTTGACTCACTGATATGAAATGTCACTCTTTGCAACAACTTGCTTGCAGTAGTTTTCATATGTTAACTCTATCAATTTTATTTATTCTTTAGAATTTATTTATTTATTCTTTATTCAGTTTTATTTATTCTTTAGTAAGAGGAAAAACCTGCCAGTAACAAAGCATAGAAGGCAAGGTATGTCATAAATATTTTCCCTACCATTCGCCCCCTCCCCAAATGTACTGTAATCAGGTCAAGTTGCAACCTGGTACAAGTCTTTTGAAGCCTGTTTGAATAAATTTAATCTTTGCTAACTGCATTTCTTGGTTAATTCCTTAGGTTTTCTGGCATTTATGTGTAGCCTGCATAATTAAATTCTAAACTGCCCAAATAATGCTCTAGGTGCTATGGGGCGGTATATGAGCAGCACACTTTGTTTGAAATAAAGCTTTTTTAAAAATGAAAAGAATTGGAGTAATTAGTGTAGCAGATTTTAAACATTCTTTTGTTGTCTGACCCATTTGGCAATGGTTATGCAAAATTTATTTTAAAATCAGTGACAGTTTATTTTGCAGAGCCCACAGAATTAAAATTTTCAAAAAAAATGTATAACATTAAAGTTTGTATTTTCCTTCCCTGCATTATCAAATATTTTATCTTTTTGATGTTATGATCCAGTAGCTGAAAATGGCTTTTTAAACACTGATTTTTAAGTTGAGTTCTGAGACTTCTGATTGAGCAGTATACTCTGGCTATGTTGGATCTTTCTTTTTTCTTAAGGAGGAGTTTTTAAAATATTATGGTAAGTAACTTGACATATGTAAACACTTGAAATAGCAGGTTATCAGGAAAAGACTTGGTTTTAGTTAAAGTATAACTTTGCTTATTGTATTGCTTTCTCTCATTGTAAAGCAAATTGTGACCTTCAGTGTCAGCACTAGTGCAGATTCATTTGCTAATTTACCTTTGATTCTGGTTTGCAGTGCTTTTGTTGTTTCAAAGGAAAAGCATTTACAGCGAGTTTAGCTATGTGATGAAGATTTGTGTCTTTTGTGGCATCCCGTGTTGTATCATTGTGATCAAAATCTGTTGCTTATGTACACTGACATAAGTGTAATGGTGTAAATCAGAGGGGTGAATTGCTACTACTTAAAGAGTATTACATTCCTCATTGCATGCCAAATCGTACAGCTAGTGCATGATGATTCCTTAACTAGTAGCAGTTCATTCCTTTGATATAAGAGGTGACTCCTTTATTAGCAGCAACTTGCCAGTGAGATTAATGCTGGTATACATAAGTAATAGGATTCTGACTAACATGTCATAGGGTTTTAGGCTACTTATAGACTAGTGTGAACATAATAATTCACTTTATGTTCTTCACTATGGGTTTATCCCCTAAGACCACTGATCTATTGAGTTCATTGTTGAATTCACCAGGTATGGCTCCTGTCCTGCTTATCCCAGGCTTTCATCAGTTGCTAGCACTGTATAATGAAGGTCTGAGGGAAGTTGTTTTGTCTTTGCTAATGTTAAAGCAGCTAACAATCAGAAATCCTTTCTGATCTGGTGCAAACCATGTAAAAAGTATACCAGTAGATCTTGATTTATTTTTTGTCTGCCAGTGAACTACACTGAGTGGCTTTATTTTTTGTCTGCTAGTGAACTACACTGACTGGCTTCTTAATTTTTTAGACAGGAGTCATTCTTGTACTTGGCTGGAGATGATGGCAACTGAACCAGAATCCCTCTGTGTGTGCAGTATGTGCTGTGTCAGTGAAGAAAATTAATTAAAGTAGGAGGTTGCACACAGTAAAGAATTGGTGCATTTATGTAGCACAATGTGAAAGAGCTGCAGGCTGGCACACAGTGCTCTGCTGTTTCTGCTTGTAGTGGGAGTCCATTAAACTAAACTTCTCTGGCAGCCAGGGTGGATAAAAATCAAAGATTTTTTTAAAAAATTAAATTGATTTAAATCATGATTTAAATAAAAATGTTTTTTTATTTTAATTGTCAAAAAATACCTCATTTAATTAAATTGTCAAAAAAAATCAGATTTTAAATTTTAAATTATGATTTAAACGAAATTCATCCTGCTGGCAGCATACAATTTATTCTGGTTGTCTTGCAGCAGACTGCTTTCCATTTCTTAATTATTATTATTAGTTGTATTAGTTTTATTTATATGCCACATTTCTCCCAACAAGGGACTCAAAGTGGCTCACAACATTAATATTCACACAAAACATTAAAATTGGTCATTTTGCCCTCATCCCTTACCCACAGTCAGAGAAGGAAGCCAAATCAGGTTCTTGACTTCTTTCTGTATTTTTTTTTGGAAGGCAGAGAACAAATCAGAGAAGGGAAGTTACCTTGCCAGAAATTATTATAAACAAAACTCAGAGTGAAGCATATACTACCGTGTTTCCAGGGAAACCACTCTTCTAGTGTTGTGCAGATAAAAGTCTCTTAATAATATTTCTAATAGTTGAAAATATTTTTATTACATTTTTTATTTTTATTTCACAGGAAGATATTTGAAATTTATTGGATATAAAATAGTAACATAGTAAAGCTAATTTTTACAAAATGTTATTTCTAAAAATATGTAATGCTTCAACTGACTATGCATATGGCGAGGGATTGTAAGCTTTTTGTAAAGCTTACAATCCATTTTTACAAAACTGCATTCTGCAAATTTACCTTGAAGTTTTGATTGAACTGCATAAGTTTAGTCAGTCACAACTGATGACTTTTATTCACTGACATATAGGGACCAAGGTGTTCTGCAAATGCAAATATCTTCATTTCACAGAAGCCCCATTCAGATTACTATTGAATGCTAGAGGAAGGATTATGTCCCGTATTCTCTCCCTGGCCTCTTCCTGTGCAGTGTGTGTGTGTGTTTTATACAAATAGTATGCAAGTAGTTTTTATGTGCAAAATGAGATCAATGTGGGTAGCCAGCAAGATCTCACTTTTGTCCCCATGTTTTGACTAAGTTTATACTCTTTTATGGCTCAATGTAACTAGTACTGTACTGTATTTTCTTAACCTTCCAGTTTTTGTCTAACATGGAGACTTGTATGACAATTTCAGATGAGATGCCAAAGATTGTAACTTCATTATTCACTGAAAATGGATTAGATTTGGATTGAATGACTTGATACCTTGAATATGGTGTGAACTACGGTTTCCACAGTCCTTTAATATTTACTATACTAATGGGAATTGTAATTCAAAAACATTTGGAGTCTCAGATTGCTTGTTGAAGGCCTTCATCTTTAGGAATATTAGAATGAAGCTACAGAATACTGATATTTAAAATGTACAGTAGTTCAGTGGTTCTTAACGTGGGCAATAATGCCCCCCAGGGGGCGATTTCATTTTTCAGGGGGGTGGTAGAACGAAAAGGGGCGGTGTGGGGGTGAAAGAACAGAAGGGAGGCATTAGGGGGCCGCTGGAGCGAGCCAAACCTGTGAAGGCGACTGCAGCCGCAGTGCTGGCAGTAGATCCGGTGCTGCTGCTGCTGCCGCCAGATGACCCAGCTCTTTCTGCCTGCCACATCTCGCCTTTCTCCTTTAGGGGAGCACTGAGTGTGGATTGGGTGGAAGGAAAGGGTCTCTTGGGTCCTCATCCTCGCCCCGTGAAGCGCTGCCTCGCACCCGGGTGGGGAGACTAGGTAGGTAGGGAGGTAGGTAGGTAAGATATCATCACCTTGGGGCGGGGGGGCGATGATAACTTCCTCAATGGCTCAAGGGGGGCGTTTCTTTCAAAAAGGTTAAGAACCACTGCGGTAGTTAACATAAAATGCCTTATTTGCTTATATCTTTCTTACCCTCTTACCCAGGTAGTACCCATTTCCCTACTTACCTGTTCTGTAACATACTTGTAAACACTGTTCTGTGTAGCAAGTAATAAGTGACATTTATGTTATTCCTTATACACAATTCTATACTTCACAGTTTTTCAGCTAACTGAAATTAGTTTCAGTTCTGCCTATTTTATAAAAGTTTTTTTGGTCAAACATGGGAGCAGCACTACCTTTCCTTTAAGGCAGTGAGTTCTTTCCTGAGATCATAAAGGTCCTAAGAATGTCATAAACAATGTACTGTGTTCCCTTTTCTCTGACCTAATTGTATAACATAATCCTATTGGCTGGAGCTATTCAGAAATGGTTTTCTTGATTCAGAACACCACATTCTAACTGAAATTCCAACACACACACACTGGAGGTTAGCCTGCTGGTGAAGAAACTTGGTAATTTAGGTGACTGGCAGATCAAGCAGGTGTCTTTGTGGAGAAATATACGAAAAGCAAAAACAGTAGAAGAGAAAGTGAACAGTTACAATTGTCCATTGTGAGGAGAAGTAGCACCTGTACTTTTATATGTCTTCGGGCAAGTCTTCCTGTAGCACAGTCTGTACTGTTCTCCCTATGATGCAGAGTCATTAGGCTCTAAGATGACTGATTAATGGCTAATTAGGATGTGCCTATAGGTTTCCAGAGGTGAACGTCATATTAATTAAGCAGATACAGTGCTGAGATTCCAGCCCTGCTTTGCTATCTCTTAATGCTGTAATAATTGAGAAACTTAAAACCTCCTGGTAACATGAGGATTGAGAGCTGAGGCTGTGAAGATTACAGAGCTGATGGTGCTGAAGTGCCTCTAATTGATTTGAAGAGCACTCTTCAGCCATGGTTTTCCCTCTTGCTGAAGAGAAGACTGGTCAGGGCAGAGACTAGTGAATTGTACAAAGAAATGAGAAAATATGAGGTAATTCGTTTTGCAGTGTTTCCTGTTTCTTTGTTTTGTTAGATTTGATTTAAACACCTGAGAGAGATCCTTATACATTCCCGTTTGATTAATTTTTTTATTGCATATATGAATATGATTAGCAGATATATAGTATAATCCTGATTGTGTTTACTGGGATATGGTTTTCACTTTGTTCAGTTGTTATGCCAACGGAGATGTGTAAAGAGTGCAGCATTAGTTTAGATGTTTTAGTTGCTTTCTGAGCTTATAAAGTGTTTCAAAACTTCACACCAAGGACATTTTGGGTGCCAGATATCTGAAAGGAAGAGATGATCCATGCCACAATATATTTTTGGACTAAGTTCTGATGGTATGAGGAGTGTGTGGAAGTAAGAAATCATGCTTTGTAGAATAGTATTTGTGCATGTAGATTTCCAGTGCTGGTTTGCTTAGACCTTGTGAGCTGCTATTCCATTTTTATATGAACATGGATCTATCCTCCCTATTTTTATAAACAAGAGAGGAGCTGAATCTCGAAAGCAGAAAAAGCTCAGAGATGTTTCCCTACATGCCAGTATCTTAACTCTCAGGAGCTTCTGTCTCCCTTTTTTTTTTTCTTTTTGACTCAACCTCCAGTACTGGAGAAGACAGGAGGGTCTGGCGTGCTCTGGTCCATGGGGTCACGAAGAGTTGGACACGACTTAATGACTAAACAACAACAACAACAACCAGTACTGGAAATGATGTTATCTGAGAGAAAAGTGTTTTGGGAAATAGAGTACAGGAAGGTTAATTGAAGGGGAGGACTGTCCTCCCTGTGTATCTTTGCTTTAAAGAAGTGTTGTGGAAAAGATGGCACTTGCAATAATCATCTAAATATATCTGGTTGTGTAATGTGATCCACAGGTGGCATTGTTAACAGTGTTCTTAATTTTTATTGCGAGAATGAGACAGAAGAAGAGTATTTTTTAACAGTTATGTTTATGTATTAGCTACTTACCGTAATTCCAGTACAAGTACCTCTTACATAAATATCACAGTAGTATTTTTGAGGCTTCCTGCCTTCTCAGTCCATAGTATCCCAAAAATTATAATATTGTAAAAGATTCTTAATGGAGCCAAATTAAGTTATGACTCAACTGTAATTGAATGTTGCACTAAGGGCATTTTATGTCAGCTGATCTCCAGTGCTTATACCAAAAATATATGCTATAGATCTATTTAGACAATGTGTTGTCATGAACTTTGTTGCAGCAATTTGAACAAAGTCAGAGTTCATGGTTAAAACACAAAGGAAAAACAAGTGTAGGTGTAGCTATTCAAATCAGAGCCACAGCCATTATGTCCTGACTGAGCTAGTTTATTCTTGCACCCGATCTTCTCTTTCCTCATTTTTTAAAAAGCCTCACTTGTTATTCGAAAATACCATTATGTACTTTACTGTTTATTTTAATGGACTTTATATCTTCATTTGTTTATTTACTTACTTAAAGGCATTTGTACATTAGTCTTTAATCTCAGAAGTGTTTGTAGGGTGACCAAAAAATGTAAGCGAACCATCATCATACCAACATAATAAAACAGGGCATTAGCAATAGCAGCACATTTTTAAATGATTTAGAAGCCCAAGTATGAAAGAGTAATTCTCATTGTATTGAAAAAGTCTTGAACAAACAAAGAGAACTGAACAGTTTGCCATGGCTAGTGTCAAAGGCTCTATCTGAGATCATCATCTATTTGGCTTACCTAAAACAAGCAGAAGAATTTGAAAGAGTGTCTTTGAAAGTGATGTCACGCTCAGGGCAAGTTTTCATGTGGAAGTAAGTACAGTACTGGGATGGTTCCTGTGTGTGAATGCTCTTCAGTGCAGTATTTTGCAGCATGCACAATCAGTTTAGGAAGAGCTCTGTTTTTTAAAGAATAAAAAAAAATCTTTGGAGATAGCAGATGAGTAATTCCCTTGCGGGTTGGAAGACATGCACCATCTAAAAAGGAAGAGAACATCCATTTGACACCGATTAGACTGATACCTCCTTGCAATTTAAGTGAGTTTAAGAGCAAACATTCAGGTACAAAAAGTCCAGCAGACAATGCTATGTGTGCTTACATTACAGTATTTGACAGTGCTGTCAAGTGACATGTGTTTGTATCTCCAGAAATGGCAGAAACAAACTTAAACTAAACAAAACTTGGTTGAATGCTTCGAGAAATTCTATACTAGATCTAAGTGAATTCTGGAATATGCTTGAAAAAATATCTCAAATGATTCACAGAATAAGGGAAGGTTCTGTAATTCCTCAGGTTCACAGCAAAACCAATTTGTAATCTCTAAACTTGTATTGTGATTTTTTTTACTTTATGTTTTAATAGGGTTTTATGGCTTACAACCATTCCTTGCAAAGGCAGTAGTTTTTTCTTTTATGTGAGCTATTAGCATGAGGTTAAACTTCAACAATTTGATATTTGATCTGTTTGTTTTGCACATTCCATGATGAAAACTTGCCTTCATGCAAGTGTACTATTGATAGCATTTGGAAGTATACATCTTAGGTTTGTTTTAATTTAAATAATGATAGTAATAACAGTGATTTTCTACCATGTTTCAAAACATTTTAGCACTGCAGTGTGTATTGCTCTTTTCCTGAAGAGGCACAAGATGATTGATGTAATTTAGGAGGCACGTCAGAAAAATGTTTGCATATTAGAAGAAAAAGTTAGCAATACATGTAAGCTTTTAAGAGATCCAATTTTGTTTTGTAAGTGAACCATAACAATATAATATTATATATAGTGTATTAATAGAATAAAATTCAGAACCTCATATAATAGAGTGTCTAGGGATACTTTAAAAACTGTCAAGTACTACTTCAGCCAGACTACTTCAGTGCTCTTCTGTGTTCGGAAATGGGCAAGAAAAAAAAAGAGATCTCTGGTTTCCTTAGTTGTCTGAGGAAGTGGACTCGTCTATGGAAACTCACATTAGAATATAGCAGTTAGTTTTCAATACATTTTTGTCTTCCTTATTTTTTATTTTTCATTATTTTTCTTTTGTTTCTGCATGATAAGAAAAAGAATTATATTTCATTGACTGTGTCATTAGGTAACAAACTTGTTTCTGTGATTGCCACTAAATACAATTTGAACGAAATGTTGATAGATATAAAATGGCGGACATTTTCTACAGTGTCATTGGGAGGTGTAAATATTTTGAAACAATCTGAATATTGCTCATTCGGTAGCTATGTTGAAATAATTCTGTTTGCTTGTCATTTCAGCTATGAAGTCTTTCATTCCATTTTTCATTCTTCTGTGGAGTGCTGCTGGAATTTCAAGGGCTGCCAAAATTGTTATTGTGCCGCCAATTATGTTTGAAAGCCATCTGTATATTTTCAAGACCCTGGCTTCAGCCTTGCATGAACAAGGCCATCAGACAGTTTTCCTCTTGTCTGAGGGCAGAGAAATCCCTCCATCCAATCACTATAGACTGCAGCGATACCCAGGGATCTTTAATACAACCACTTCAGATGAGTTTCTTCAGTCCAAAATGAGGAGTATCTTTTCTGGGAGACTAACAGCCCTGGAACTGTTTGACATTCTGGATCACTATACCAAGAACTGTGACATGATTGTGGGCAATAAGAAGCTCCTGCAGGCACTGAAGCAAGAAAAATTTGACCTGCTGCTAGTGGATCCTAATGAGATGTGTGGATTTGTTATTGCCCATCTTTTAGGGATTAAGTATGCTGTGTTTTCCACTGGCCTTTGGTATCCAGCTGAAGTAGGTGCACCAGCACCTTTAGCGTATGTTCCAGAATTCAATTCACTTCTCACAGATCATATGAACTTGCTAGAGAGACTTAAGAACACTATTGTTTATCTGGTTTCAAGATTTGGAGTCAGCTTTTTGGTTCTGCCAAAGTATGAAAGGATAATGCAGAAGTATAATGTACAGCCAACAAGATCAATGTATGACTTGGTTCATGAAACCAGCTTGTGGATGCTGTGTACTGATGTAGCTCTAGAATTTCCGAGACCAACGCTACCAAATGTTGTTTATGTGGGAGGAATTCTTACCAAACCAGCCGGTCCTCTACCAGAAGTAAGGTTTGCTAAATTTTACCTATATGTACAGTTCTGGTCTTCATCCTTAAATAATTGATTTTATTAATAAGCTTCTGTAGATTTAGTCTCAAGCTCATGACACTGGTTTATTTCACTGCATGGTTTCTAATGTTGTCTTCATTTTAGACTACAACATTGATTTGGTTCTCAAAAATAAGTGAGAACATACCTTGAGGAGGAGGTTTAAATAATTTAAGTCAAGTGGTTGAAATGATTTAAGTCAAGTGGTTGAAATGTGGATACAGTGTTTAAGTCCTGGATCTAAAATACTTACACCAGCAGAGTAGTCCAAATTCCTCATTCATGAGTAATCAAAGTTGCCCTTATTTAGGAGTGCAGTATTTGATTATTATTTTTTTATTTTTTATTTTTTTACTTTCAGTAGCCCCAGCTATACAATGCTACCATGGGGAAACATAGACATCTCTAACAGTGAGAATAAAAATTGGCCACTGTGATGAGGAATACAGACACTCAGACATTCACAATTCCTCCATTTCTGTGACAGAGTTGGGTTTCTGTCAGTGGGTCCTGTTTTGCCGGATGTTCCTATTGGACAAAGATGGGCAAAACAACATTCACTTCTTCTTTTCCCTTTCAGCCCCTATGCCCCTGAAATGCTGCTTCAGAGGGCCAGAAGACTCTCTGGAATGGAGTACAGGTGTTACAAAGGGAAAGAGAACCAGTGAACAATATCATTTTTGAGGTTCTAAGAGAACTTGGTACCTTTCCTTACTGTTTTCAATAGCAATTCCCATTCTAATATGTTTAATTGTTTGGGATATAATGTGGTGATTAAATTGTTAAAAAGAGTTTTAATCTGATTAAATTGCTATATTCACACATTATGGGTTCAGATAATACACAAGTGCACAGTCAAATACACATGAAGGTATATTGAAAAACTTTGCAATATATGTTGTTCTAAACAAATAGTATAGCAGTAGGTATGTACACTTTCAAATATGCCATCTTACTGTATAAGCATATCTGTACACATACATGCACTCATATTAAAAAAGTACATTGAACATGTGTTGAATAACCAGTGTGTGTTATGGCATCCTGCATATGCACCCTGAGTTATGGTTTAGATTACTATCTGAATTATTTACTGGTGATTTAGTTTCCAACAATTTAAATGTAGAACTCTTAATGGATATTATGAAAATGTTTGAGAATTCGTTAAAGCAGGTGCAAAGTGTCAGCATTTTAGGAAATGGAATTTTTCCTTTTCTGATGTGCAGTGATGTGACACTTACTACAGCCAAGGGAAAAAATACCTGAATAAGTTGCTTCAGTACTCCAGTCTTAATGTTTATATGGTTTTTCCAAACATTGAGGTGTGGTGGTATTAATAAACACAAGCAGATAGATTTTACCGTATTATTGAAAAGTTAGAATTCTATAAATAATGGTGAAGGTTATTTGTTCCTAAACAATTGATAATCTGTTTCTCTCTCACCTATCCAGAGTGTTTTCTAAAGAAGAAAACAGCTGCAATTAAAATGTGCTGTTTTGTGTTATTGTATAGAGCAGTGGTTCCCAACCGCAGACCGGTTGGTGTGTGTGTGTGGCACGCCTGCAAAGGGCGGAGCTTGCTTGCACATATGCGCACGTCGCGCTTGCAGGGGCGGAATGTGCTCGCGTGCAACAGCACTCACGGGGGGGGGTTAGGAGATCTGTGTCTGCACCCTGGTCCTGGATAGGCCGTGGACCGTTGCCAGGCTGCAGACCAGGGGTTGGGGACCTCTGGTATAGACTACATCCATTACAGGTTTGTGATTTGAATGTCACAGATACTTTAGCTGAATACACACTTCTGTACTGATTTAAAATTAACTCTGATTTTAGTCAAAAATATAGTATACTCAGCAATTATATTTATTCTAGCACTGAGTAACAAGTTCTATTCATTCTAGATTTTCTCTGTTGGAGATTAAAAGTGGATTTAGCCCTTAAAGCTTTTGTCATTGTTTGCTAATGTATGTTTTGAAAACTGATCCAGAAATAATTTGTTGTAATAATCTCAGTTGCATCATCATGAGGCTTTTTAGTTGCCCCCAGGGGAAAGGATTTTGAAATAAGAGAGAAGAAGGTTTCAGTTAGAACATACAAGAGTGTATCATTTTTTTTCCTAATTCTCTTTTAAACTTGGATAGGGATGTTTGCACCTATAGAGATTATTCTTTTCAAATGTATGCATGTTTGAATGCATGTTTTAATTTCTGCTCATTTCTTGAATTTATTTCCTCCATTAGCACAGTGTTCATGCAATGTTTTTGGTTCATTTGCAGTGTGGACATTTTTATCACAGCTGTCCCAACATAAGATGATTAGGGAATGCAGATTACATCTATCCCATTGACAGTCTGCAGATGATTATTAAAATAATCCCACGTGAAGTCGTATCCCTCACATTCTCCCAGACTGAACTGGGGCTAACAATGGAAAAATCTTCTTTAGTTGTAGACTAAATCATGTTAGTAGCATCAGCCCTGCAAGAATATCAATGTTCACTATATACATTTTTAATCCCATTTCTGAATTTGATTCGGATGTGCTGCAGTTTTATTTCCCATACATACTGTATTTTTCGCTCTATAGGATGTATCTGACAATATGACGTACCTAATTAAAAAATAATAATGAAAAAACCCTCCGCCCGAGCCAGCTCATTATTCAGCATCGCTTCCTTGCCCCTGAAGGGGACGAGAAGGGCGGCATGGTGGCGACAGTGGCGGTGGGAAGCCAAAGAAGATTTGTCTTGATCGTTGGGTAGATTGGGAGGGTAAAAAAAAACAACACCTGGCGGTGGGGGGGCATATGGAGCGAAAAATACGGTACCAGTACTTGTTTTCTTTCAGATAAATTAGAATTAAAAAATAAAACTCTGTCCCAGCAAATTCATTATCCGGAAGCACTCCCTGCCCAGGAAGGGGAGGAGAAGGGCGGTGTGGTGGCCGTGGCAGTGATGGGAAGCCAGTATTCACTCCATAAGGTGCACACACTTCCCCCCCACTTTTTTTGGGGGGGGGAAGGGCGTCTTATGCAGTGAAAAAAATACAGTATTTCTTTTTTCTTTTGTGTACCGTGTACCCTGTTGCATATGCTTAGGAACTCATGCTCATCTCTTCTCCTTTCTTAAATAATTGCTGCACTCTGGAGAAAGAGGAACTGATCCCTCCAACTTTCCACTCTGCTTATCAGTGTTCTTGTGTGGTTCTTTTATCTCCAACTGTTCCCCTTCTCATGCTTTTAAGTCAGAAGTTGATGAAAGATCAACAGCCATCACAATGCAACATAGACTAGTAACCAAAGGGATTGCAAGATAGTTGTAGGGAGGAAACAATAATTGTTTTCTCTGAAGGGAGGTTTTAGGTAATGTGTTACTAAATTCCACTTGGGGACGTGGTTGTGCTGCAGGTTAAACTGCAAAGCCTCTGGGCTGCAAAGTTGAAAGATTAGCAGTTCGAATCCACATGGCGGAGTGAGCTCCCGTCACTTGTCCCAGCTTCTGCGGACCTAGCCGTTCGAAAGCATGTAAAAATGGCAGTAGATAAATAGATACCACCATGGTGGGAAAGTAAGGGTGTTCTGTGTCTAGGCGCGCTAGCCACGTGACCATGGAAACTTTCTATGAACAAACGCTGGCTCTACAACTTGGAAACGGAGATGAGCACCGCCCCGTAGAGTCGGACACAACTGGACATTTGTCAAGGGGAAACCTTACCTTAAATTCCACTTGTTCTAAGAACAGTCCAGTTATTCTAAACCTTGGAACGTAAGTAATCAGTTTGCTTCTGAGTAAACCTGAATGGGATTGAGCTTCAAGTTTTTATCTGTTTATATTTCTGGCCGCCTCTACCCTCATAGCTTCAGAAAGCGAGTACTAGCTCAGACTCATAAGTAGATAAATGGATCTCCATTATGAAATCTGACACTACAATGTCTTTTGGAGCAGTGGTTCTCAAACTGGTGTCCCCAGATGTTCTTGGACTGCACTTCCTAGAAGCCTTCACCACTTGCTGTGGCCAGGATTTCTGGGAGTTGTAGTCCACGAACATCTGGGGACCTAAGTTTGAGAACCACTGTTTTGGAGTTTCTTTGCTATGTAGTTTGAATTCCTTGTCATAGTGAATAATCACAAACACCATGCCTCTTCAGCTTTTGCCTTACAGGCTGGTGCCAACAGGGCAGAAATTGAATATGAGTACTTGGCAGATTAATAAACTAACATCCTCTCATATTATAGCACTAAAGCTTCTGCTTAATTCATGCTTTCATTTTTGCAGGTCTTGTTTCCTGTGACTCTTGTCACAGAAGAAATATGAGCCTGCTCCACATAATTAACATCAATTCACTTAATTTTTCATCTTGGTATGAAATATTTTTGTTTGAATAATGATTTTTTTATGCGTAAACGTAAAATACTAATTTTGTCCAGTTGATAAAATCTGAGGTGTGTGTTTTTTTTAAATTTTGGTGACTACATAAACCATCAGCGTTCTCATTTTGTGACTCTACATTTGATAAAATTTGTTCTGTTGAGGGTTCAACATATAAATTTGTAATTGGGTTCCTTAAAAATCTGAAGCAGTTTCTCCCTTTGGGCAGGAAATGACAACCTAGCTTTGCCGGTACTCTGAACACTCTATTTTCTCCTCCATGTTCCTCACTCCCTCCTCCCAGACTGACACTAACTCCTCCTTTTCCTTTTCTCCCTCCCTCTACTCTACCAAACAAACATCTATATTCCTCTTCCTCACACTTGGTCCCTCCTCCTTCTCCCTTTCAAGACTTAACTTCTTCCTCTTGTCTCAACTTCTTCTACCTCCTGTTTTGCCTCCGTCTTCACAATTTGAGGGGACAGCTCACTCCCTTCTTTTTCCTGTACTACTCTAATTCCTTCACAAAATTAAAGAAAGAACTCAAGGGAAATTGCTGTCTGAAAGTTAAAGGTTATATACTATGCAA